TACTCAGAACTGCAGCATCTCCACGACACACAGGCCGGTGCATCCAAGCCTCCTCACCCCCCACTTACTTGTGATACCAGTTGATTTTCATTTCTTCTGTGAAGTACTTCATGAAACACTGGAGTCTGATTCCCTCTGGGGTGCAGAGAACCTTCAGCGGGGAGGCGGACGCTCCTGTGGACGACAGAAGGCCTGAGATCTCCAGAGGGCGGCAGGGCCCTTCCACGCACCCTCACCCCGGACAGAGCAGGCTGAGATCTCCAGAGGGCGGCAGGGCCGTGTTCCACGCACCCTCACCCCGGACAGAGCGGGCGTGCTGTCTGCAGACACCTCACGCGGCGTGGGCCGAAGTCTGTCCCTGTCACACATGCTCAGGAAGCAAGCCCACAGACCAGAATGTTCCAAAAAGCCCTTTGCAGAGCACGGGGAGAAACGCACCATTTTTCAAGAGCCAGCACCTGCCCCTGAGCAGCTGCACTGGAGGGGTGCAGGTGACAGGGACTCGTTAGGCTGACAGCCTGTCAGCCCAACGCGTGGGAAGAACCAGAAAGACCACCAGGAAACAAAGGCAGGAGCGGACGAGAGCCTACATCAAATTAAAACGCTTCTTAACAGCATTACAGCAACAAAAAAGCAGTTACCAGAGCTGAGAGACAATCCACAGAACAGAAAAAGATCTTCTCCAGATTCCTCTATACTCAACATATAGGGATTAATATCAGAATATACAAATAACTCAAAAAATAGATATTCTTGAGTTATAGCCCAGTTGATAAATGGGTAAATGGACTGAAGAGACATTTCTCAGAAAGGGAAATAGATATGGCTGATAGAGGCATGAACAAATGTTCAGCACCCTTAGCCATGAAGGAAATGGAAACCAAAACTACACGATGCTACGTGCAAACCACACTAAGAGCCCGTTCTCCCCGGAAGAACGGCAATCAAGCACACAAACCAGCTGGGCGCCTGTGGCTCATGCCTGTCATCCTAGCTACTCAGGAGGCTGAGATCTGAGGATCACCGTTCAAAGCCAGCCCAAGCAGGAAAGTCTGTGAGACTCTTATCTCCAATAAACCACCAGAAAACCAAAGTGGCGCTGTAACTCAAGCGGTAGAGCACTTGCTTTGAACTGAAGAGCTGAGGGACAGGGCCCAGAGTTCAAGCCCCACACCAAAAAAACAAACAAACCATACACACTGGCAAGGAAGCAGGCGAGGGAGACCCTGGTGTTCTGTTGGTGGGAATATGAATAGGGAAAAGACTATGGAAACACTGCGGAGGTTTCAAACACTGAAAACAGGCCTGCTTATGATCCCAGCCTACCGCTCTTGAGCATATGTCCAAAGGAGAATAAACCAACATCCAAGAGAGACACTTGCAGACACACGCCTACCAGAACAGCCCAACAACAGATGAATGAGGAAATTACAGTTCATGTGTTCCACGGAATACTATTCAACCAGAAAGAACACCCAGGTACAATGGATCTGTGAATTAAGACAGCAAAAACCGAGAGCTGTTGGTTGAATCGTGAGAGGGTGGAGGAAGCCCAGCTGCCTCACGCAGGACGTGTGCAGAGTGCGATGGTCTGCGTCCCAGGCCGTCTGGAGACAGCAATGAGAAGAGACATTCACAGGAATGCTGGGAGAGGCGTGGGAGTGGGGGTGAAGGGCGGCCGCTTCCGGAGGCTTCCAGGAGGTCCTGACGCAGCAGGCTGAGCACCCACCAGAAGCTACCTGCATGCTAGGTCTTCGCTGCCTGACCAGAAAACAAGCCAGGTATTCTGTGAGGAAATCATGTAACTGCTAGCAGAACACGTTATACACATGTGAGCTACTATTGCTAAATTCATAACCGCTGTCGCTGGGGGCCGGCGGCTCTCTGAGGATCGATCAAGGTTTGCAGCCAACCCGGGCAGGAGAGCCGTGAGACTCTTCTAATTACTCACAGAAAAAGCTGGGAGCAACACTATGGCGCACGTGGTAGAGAGCTAGCTAGCCTTGAGCAAAAAAGGAGCTTGGACAGTGACCAGGCCCAGAGTCCAAGCCCAGGACCAGAAAAACTAAAAATAACCGTTATCTTCGCTCTGATGGATTCCATGGAAGGGCAAATGGAGAAAGAACTTAGCAGACATTGGTGTGGCACGTAGGAGTCGTCCCAGTTCTAATGGTTTTTAGTTCCCTTCTGTTCTTGAAATAAGGATGCTGACAGCAGTTCTGGATAAAGCCATTGCCAGAGTCACCGGAGGCAGATGGCCAGAGGTGGTTGAGTGGAACCCCAGGCTCCGTGCTCAGCCCAAAGCTCTGGGGAAAGCGGGGGACCCTCCAGCCGGGGCAGTCACGTGGGGGGCAGTCACGTGGGCGCGGCTGCACCTCCTGCTCCCTCCCTCCAGGGGTGAACACGGCTGATGGTAGCGCTAACCAGGGGGCATCTCTTACCACAGACTCGACTCATCGCCAAGATCATGTCCTCGTACACTGGAAGAGAGAGCAGAGAGGCGCGTCAGGGTGGTACTGTGACAGGAAGCCTCCTCTCCAGGGTCTGATTAAATCCGAAAAGTGACACGTTAACTGGCCACCGTATCCGTGAAGGCTCTGTGTGCTGTAAGTCCTTCCAGCTGTCACCCCGTACACAGCGCTGAACTGAACATCGCATGCACAGACTCCAGCTGCACTAGCCAGCACATAAACCTCACCAACAGCATGCAACACAGCTGACGCAGTGGATTCTCTTCCACAGAGCTGGCTATAAAATATGTACAAGACCAGGCACCAGTGGCTCATACCTGTAACCTCAGCAACTCAGGAAGCTGAGATCTAAGGATTGTGGTTCAAAGCCACAAAAAGGAAAGTTTGTGAGACCTTTATCTACAATTAACCACCAAAAACTGGAAGTGGTGCTGTGGCTCAAGCGGTAGAGCTCTTGTCTTTTTTTTTTTGGTCGGTCGTGGGGCTTGAACTCTGGGCCTGGGCGCTGTCCCTGTGCTCTTCAGCTCAAGGTGAGCACTCTACCGCTTGAGCCATAGCATCACTTCTGGTTTTCTAGTGGCTAATTGAAGATAAGAGTTTCACAGGCTTTGAACCATGATCCTTGGATCTCAGCCTCCTCAGTAACTTGGATTGCAGGCATGAGCCACTGGAGCCCAGCAAGAGCTCTTGAACAAAAGAACTCAGGGACAGCACGCTGGTCCAGAGTTCTAGTCCCAGGACTGGCCAAAGAAGAAAACAAAATGTGCAGGGGCCACGGAGGTAGAACCCACCTGGTCAGTCAAGCAGCTCAGTGTCACACACAAGGGGGGTGGGCCAGGACAAAGGGCGTCACTCAGTGTCACCAAAGGGGGCGGGCCAGGACACGGGGCGTCACTCAGTGTCACACACAAGGGGGGCGGGTCAGGACACGGGGCGTCACTCAGTGTCACACACAAGGGGGCGGGCCAGGACTCGGGGCGTCACTCACCTTGGCCTGCTATTTCCAGGATGGACACGTCTTGACCTCTGTCATCTTTCAAAGTTGCCTTGTATTCGCCATGGTCCTTCTTGGACAGCTACAATAAAGCACAACCCCATCTGCGTGAGCCGGGTACCGCGCCTCCGTGGGCCCTGGGCGCGAACACCAACAAAGACAAGGCGGACTTGGAGGGCTTCCAAGGCAGGCTGGCTGTGCCCGGCACACGGCACCTTGGGTATGAGCAGCTCACAGACGCCTCTCTCCAGGTCCGGCAGCGTCTCCGTCTCATACAGAACATCGTCCTTGAGCCACTTGAACACCGTCTCTTTCTTGGTATTGGCGACCTGTGAAGCAGAGACCCCAGAGTGCTGTGGACTCATTCAGGCTGTGAGTGAGAAAAACCTTCAGGGCTGCAAACACAGACCCGGGAACCACATCGGTCTTCGCTCGAGACCGGCTCAGGCAGAGGCTCACGGAAAAGCTGTCCCTTGCTATGGTAAAGGCATTGCTATATTCCATCTTCTAGAATAATGATGCCCTCCCAGGGAAACAGCGCAAATGACTCTCACGACTCTGACTATAAAATGAGCTGGCTAATAGGAAGCATCATTACTGTGAATGAGTCACAGGGGATGTATTTTTTAATCTAGAAATAATACAGACTATTCTTAGAGGCCTACAAAACTCTCCCAGATGCAGAGACCCAAAGGGAACAAAAGGCAGACCGAGCAGCTGCTGGGAGAAGCCTTCCTGCTGGCTGGCTCTGGCTTCACGCGGGGCAGAGCTTCAGAGGATTCGGCAGAGCCGCAGGCGTCCCACGGAGCCTATGCGTGCTGTCCCATTCTGTCCCATGTGAGGGAATGTGGGTGTGCCCGGAGCCTGTGGGCCTGACGATGCTGTACCCACATCCCACAAGACCCCAGGACGGAGGGGGCCAGAGGCGGCTCCGCAGGGTGAGCTCTCGGGGTGCAGCTGTGCCACGTGCTTAGGATCTGCACTCCGTGGCAGTGTCGGTGAAAACGTGTCACAAGCAGAGATTCCGCTGTTTTGATCACCGTGTTCACCAATGAGGGGGCCCTGCCTGGTACAGAGACGTCATCCTGGGGGAGCAGAGGCCCCTTGGGGCGTCTCCCACCAGCGCGTGAGCGTGCACACGGCCCTGGTGGAGCCCACAGCAGTCCCCCGGCCCCCTGTGCCCATCTCGAGTCCACTCACGGCAAAGCCCTCACTCTGAGCTCAGGTCTGTCTCCCTCCACAGTCATGAGGATATTGTCAATTGTGGGTCCCTGGGTGCCAACACGAACTTCCCAGCCACCTTCAGCCTGTGTTCTCTGAAAACACCTGGGTCCATCTGATGCCCAGGGGAGCAGTCTCAGGCCCTCCATACTGCTCTGAGGTCCAGCACCCCCTCCGTTCCACTCTGACCCCAGACACTGGGGCACAGCACATCGGGCAGCGCACAGCGCACCGGGCACGATGGGCAGCGGATCTCCTGCCCATGGCACGTCCGCCCCGGGCCACGCAAAGCCCCTGACGCTCTCTGAGCTGGCTAACACCGCCTCTCTATGACTAAGATTTCTCTTAAACATTTCTTTTTTTGAAAGGGCTTCTGTGAAGTGATAACATGAATATATTATTTCATGTTATTCTCCAAACACTTTGCCGTGCAAATGATGAACTTTAAAATGCTCATCTACCCGAGTCCCTAAATTATAAAAAAAAAAAAAAAGTGATGTTGGAAAATGGCTCACAGAATCAGCATCACAGGACTGGCAAGGAGACACAGAGCATTAGAATGCAAAATGTTTAACGCTCAAGTGATGGTTATCTGGGTTTTCTGGTGTTTGTGTTCAGGGTCTATGAACACAGGAGTCGGGAACCCCAGTTCCCTGAAGCATTTATCTGTGGTTCAGCACCAGGGCCCTGCCCCGCCCTGAGTCACGACAGAGGGAGACTGGCCGCTGCCCTTCCTCCCGGGCTGCAGGACCAGACCACTAACAAACCCAGCTTTGAGTCCCATCTAGAAATCTGAACACACATCAACTTTCCACCAGGTAATCCCTTGAGAAAATCGCTTCTTCCAGCGCACACAGCAGGGGGCGGACGGCCTCCCTCCTGGGCCCTGCCACTCTCCTGGCTTTGAATACCACTGAGCTTCCCGTCTGGGGGCCAGGCCTGCGCAAGCCTCTCCAACCTCTTTGCAACTCAACTTCTTTTCTTTCCCAAATATTCTCAGTCTTCCTTCTGAACATATTAACACAGAAATGATCTACTCACCGCCAAAACAAATTAAAAACCTAAGCATTTTTCTATAATTAATTTATGACATCTGTGGGAATTTTTAAGTATCAAAGCTTTATCCCTGGCTTTCACAACAAAGAAGGGTATGATGGGACGTTACAGATCAATCGTCACCACTAGCGATGATTAGGGAGGCCCAGGGAAAGTTAATTTAATCCGGTCAATCTCCTGTGAAGTCCTGGGACCCAGACCCCACAATGCACCCTGGGACTCGAACCCAGCTCAGCCCCTGCTCGATGGCCCTGTCCACCACGCCTCTGGAGGTCGCTGCTCAGCCAGGCTCCCTGACTCCGTCACTTAAAATGAGCTTAGCAAAGATCAAAGCTGATCTTACCACTGAATCCTTAAAATACAACTCAGGCTGTGTTCTGCTCCCCAGAGGCCCCTTATTCTCCCGGTGAGGTCCTCTCGCCAACCAACGGCTGTGTCTTACTGCGGCACACCTTCTGGAAAGTTCACCTGCTCAAACGCAGCGTGTTTATTTGTATACAGTAATCCACTTCTTTCGTCTGCCTTCGCACACCCAACACGGCAGTCTCTCCTTGGAGAACGGACCCATGCGCTCATCCGGGAGCGGCGGTGCCGGGCCACGGCAGGTGCACAGAGTGGACAGGCTGAGCCCACGGCCCCTGCCCGCCCCTGGGGGCCCCAGCGAGCCCCAGACCCCCGGGGAATGGGCCTCACCTTACAGAGGAGGCGGACTTCACACTCGTCGGTGACATCCCAATGCAAATACTCGGCAAAGTGAGGGCCTGGGGAGAAGGGCCAAGTTACAGGAGTCACAGATGCACACGCTCGTACGGCCTGCGTGAGGGCCTGGGGAGAGGGGCCAAGTCACAGACGCATGCGCCTGCGTGAGGGCCTGAGGATAGGGGCCAAGTTACAGGAGTCACAGACGCACACGCTCGTACGGCCTGCGTGAGGGCCTGGGGAGAGGGGCCAAGTCATACGAGTCACAGACACCTGCGCTCGTACGGCCTGCATGAACACACGCAAGTGTGTTTGCTCACTCCTTCCCTGCGCTCTGCAGGGCAGAACCGAGACACGGTTCACAGCCACAGCATCAACACCAGTTTCCGCTGGGCCTGACCCTGCTGACCCTTCCCCCCCCCCACTTCTCCTGCCTCTTCTGCCCCTCCTGCGGGTCCGCCCCCACCTGCCCCGCCCCTTCCTATGGGCACGTGTCTGGACCCTGCTTGAGACTGGGCATGCCACTACTCTTCAACAAAAAGTCTGCTGAAATCACTGTGCTCTCTCTCAAGGCATCTGTGTCTAACCAAACGTCTACCACATGGTAAACGAAGCCTCGAGAGAAAGCGTACTGCTAGACATGAGAAGAAAGAACAGCTCCACCTAGCAACGTTCTTCATTCGTACAGTATTTGAAATTGTAAAAAAAAGTGGATGAATGATTCTCAGCTGTTCATCACTTCTCCTTACACGAAGTGTATGATAATGCCACTATCTCACACACAGAAAGTGTGCAGTGACTTCCGCCACATCAATACACTCGGCAAGGTCGGCTCAGGTGGGGCTTGGAGCTCCGATGGGGCCTCCTCTGAGGGACTGTGCCGGGCGGGAGAGCCCGGGAGGAGCAGCGTGGGCTTGGGAGAGAGGAGCAGGAAGTAAGTGTGTGTGCCCAGCCACAGTGCCAGGCTGGCCAGGTCTGGATGAGCTGGATGGTTGCAAACAAGAAATGCACAGACGAGCCTAGCGCACTACATGGAATTGTTAGTGTGTTAAGTAAAAGAAGGAGATGTGTATTTGGGAAGAACTGTCTCTCAGAAAGGTGCAGTTACTCAGAGCTCAGAGCCTGGCCAACTGAGTCAGTCTCTTGATGAGGACAGTGACAGGAAATAGGATCAGACCATGGGGTCAGAAGCATCTGAAGCCTGAAGCAAGACTAGCAGAGAGCAGAACTATAGCGAGCAAGTGCCCAGCTGGGAACAGCTACACTTTCAACCATTGCAACTGCTTTCAGTCACCGGGATGCTGCGGGGTCTGCTTCCAATAAGTATGTGAGGCTCCTTACCTTGCTTCCTGAGGAATTCTTTCCTCTGAAATTCAGCCTCTTCTAGGACAGCCTTGAATGCTAAATTCAATATTCAAGAAAAAAGAAAAGAGAGGAAATACGTCTGCTCTCTCCATCAAGAGAATTTTCTATGAATTACTTTTATGGGCATGAAAATAGTTCAGTCCAGCATACCATCTCCAATAAGGACCAGAGAAGACTGGCTTTTGGCCTTCCCGTCTTGGATCTGCACGGTGTAGGTGCCTTCATTTTCAATGGTAAATCGGTCCATCACCATCTCTATAAGTCCGGTTGACTTGTCACATTTAATTCTGTGTGTCTGTAAGCAATGGAGGACATTGAGAATTATATAGTGAAGTTTTTCCTCCACGTGTAATGGCTGAATCTGCTGTGGGATCCTAAGAAATGGTGCACACAGCCACAGAATGAAACTCCATCACCTGAACCACCTAAACCAACCACCAAACGCAAATTTGCAAGCTCCATTCTGTGACCAGACCAGGTTCCGAGTGGAGAACACGAGCCCACAGGACTCTCCCGACAGAACACTCGCTACCCAAGGACAGCCACCCGTGAGAGGCAAGCCAGCCAAAGCAGGAACCAAGGGCCCGCTGGTGGAGGCCTGCACAGAGAACAGCACAAAGTGACCCCCAGCGGCGCTCCTCCCACAGCTACAGGGGCTCACAGCCAGCAGCGGACCATCGGAGGACAGACAAAGGAGACCCTGTGCAGCCTCAATCCCGTCGCTCCCGAACGCCCAGTGCCCTGCAGGCAGCCCGGGAGGCCGCGTCCACAGAAGGGACTGTCCACGGAAGTCTGCTCAGCCTGCCTGCTCCGCTCACTCTTCTTGAAGAGTTCGGGGCTGCTTCGGGCTTCTCTGGCGTCTGAGTCTCATTCCTGGCAGCATCCCTGCCCTGGCTCTGTGCTCCCCGAACACCGGCCGGCTCCAACACCCGTGGGGGAGGCTGGGTGCCCTCAGGGACTTCCTTCCTGGCACCCGTCAGTCCTGCCAGCCACAGGGAAGTAGGGCTGTGCCTCCCTCCTCTCTGCAACCCTAAAGTGCCTCATCGAGCACCTAATCAGCAATGAACACCGAACGACCACATAAAAGTCTGTCAGGCACAGAGAGAATGCCCAGACTGCTAGCTCGCTCTGCTGTTGGAAACGTCCTAATATCACAGTCTCCAATTCTCTGCCTTTCCCGAAAGGACTCCCTGACTGCCTTGACATGCCCTTGATTCTGTACTCTTCCCTCCGGTTTCTAACTGCAGGTGTATTTCTCCAGCTCTCCGATGCCCCTGGGGGGCTGCACTCATCTGGGCCTCTGTCCCGGAGCCGTGTGGCGACAGTGTGTGTTCACCAAGAACACTGAGGAATAGCTGCCACCAAGCACCGGAGAGGAAAGTGGAAGCTGCGTTCCCAGGGCTTCGCAGAGAGCCGCCGTGTCTGGAAATCTCCATGACTTCCAGGTAGAAGTGAATAAAGCCTGCCCTACTCTCCCCAGACTTTTATCTGCAATACACACACACACACACACACACACACACACCCCATTTTAGTTAGAAATCCCAATACTGAATGACGGAAGGGGTCACACTGATCAAATAAATGGCTTTGTACTAATAATCAGGCATGTTAAACTAAAACCCCCTTGTACAATTAAAGATAAACTTTAAAAACAAATCGCAGTGTTCTTTCTCGTGTGTCAGCATGAGCTGTGTGGATCACCGGCAGGCATGATGAGAAGTGGGGGAGAGGCCAGGACTGAGGAGAACCTTCCAGAGCGGCATCCACGGCAGCCGTGCAGGGTGACCATACCCGCCGTCGGCCGCTCCAGCAGTGGTCCTGGCACCCACCCCAGGCAGGTGGACAAGGCGCCATGCGTGAGCCCAGCGCCGGCCCCGGGAGCTGCCTCTGGTTCTGAGAAATGACTATTCCCACATCCAGAGAGAACATCAGGCTGCCAGAAACGGCCGAGCCTCATCCACAGGACTCCACGCTCAGCTCTCAGAACGCCCAGGTGAGACGCCTCCGGAACCGACTCTCATCAGCTCTGAGAGGCAAAGCGTCGGTTCGCCCGGCCGGAGCCCAGCAGCCCCCTGCTTCCTGGCTGAGGCACAAGCAGGCTTCCCCACAGGACGCCATGCGCAAGAGAAAGCCCAGCGATCTCACAAGTCCCAAGCAGCAGGCTTTCATGTGACGCTTACAAAAGTGTCCGTCTTCACGTGTGAAAGTCACCCATGGACTGCTAATTACACATGTGAAATAGCGCAGCCACATTCCAAACAGTTAGTGATGATACCATGTTTAAAGCAAATGCGCATTAAAAGATGCTCTGCAACAATCAAGAAAACGCGGTATATATACACAACGAATTCTGTGCCTCCATCAGAAAGAATGACATCGCCCCATTTGTTAGGAAATGGAAAGATGGGAAAATTCTACTAAGTGAAGTAAGCCAGGCCCAAAGAAACATAAGTCCCATGGTTTCCCTTATTTGCAATAATATATGTCTGAGTCAAGCAGAAAGGTCAAAAGCTATGAACATATGACCAGATAAGATGAAGTTAAGCGAAATGAACCCCAAGATAGGGACACAAGTGGTTTTTTTCTTTCTTGCTATTGTTTCTAACATATTTATAAGGTACCACGTGATTTTTTTGCTGCTTTGTATGTCCCTCTCTCATTGTATAACCCCCATTTTCACTGTATTTGACGTTGGTATAATTTGTGGAGGGGAAGGAAAAAACAAAATGTTTAAATAGGGATACAGACTGACCCATTGTAACAATGAGATGTACAAGATACTATGTTGAAAAACGAACTTTGCAATTGTGGGGGGGGGGGTAGTTGTGGAGGTGGGAAGGAAGGAATGGTAGAGGAAAATAAAATAAAATTTAAAAAAACATGTGCTGCAGTTGGGCGCTGGTGGCTCATGCCTGTAATCCTAGCTACTCAGGAGGCTGAGATCTGAGGATAGCAGTTCAAAGACAGCCCAGGCAGGAAAAGTCCGTAAGACTCATCTCCAATTAACCAACAGAAAACCCGAAGTGGCGCTGTGTGGCTCAAGTGGTAGAGCGCTCTCCTTAAGCTGAAGAGCTGAGGGACAGCACCAAGGTAGAGTTCAAGCCCCACAACTGACTACAGTTCCTTTAAACCCTGTTTCACGGCACGACCTCTGCTCAGAGGTGTCTCTGACGCCTTGATCAGACCATGCGGCTCAGATCCAGCCTGCACACCATGGTTTCCCACCCATTCGCAGGGCTGGGGGATAACGCGATCTCCACAGATGACAGCCACACGCGGTCCCACCCACCGCCCGTGAGCACGAGGAGTCAGCGCTGAACACATGCACACGCTCCGGGAGCACCACGAGCCTGGTCATGAGCCACGCCGTGTTTATGTGATCAGGACGGAGCGGGCTAGCTCTGCCGGTAGCACCACTGGCATGGAGGGAAAGGTGCAGAAGAGGGAAAGTCGCTGGCTGGGCCATCTCCAGTGCATCCTGACAGAGACCCAGGGAGCGGTCTCCCGGAGCGCACGGGTTCCTGGGCAGGAGACACAGCAAACACAGGCACGGCCTTCTCGGCACCCGCCCCCAGGGAGGACAGTGAGTCTCAGGGTTCTTTGCACACTCGCCTGCGGGCACCGCCCACCGTCCAGGCACTGGTGAGATGGAGGTGGGGAATTGTGAGTTCAGGGCCGGCCTGGGCCAGGTCCTGTCTTAAGGGGAGCACTCTGAGGCCGAGCACGTGCAAATGCACCGTGTGGAGGAATAACCTGGCAGCGCACACACAAACTCACCTCGCTGTCCGAGACTTCCCTGTCATTCACCACGAAGCGGAAGCTGGCGTCCGCAGACAGCGGCTCGGCCTGCAGCCAGAAGCGAACCTGGCCCTTTTCTAAAATCTCATAGGCTAAGTCCGACTTCAGAGGGAGGGCTGGGGAGAGAGGGGCCGGACTTCAGAGGGAGGGCGGGGGGGGGAGGGTTGGGGAGGGCCTCGTGGGGCAGGCCTGGTCCCCATGTCCCTTGGAGAGACACTGAGCCAGGGGCTCTTGCGCACTGGCCCCGGAAGGCAACCAGTGAAGCCAAGGCCTGTGTCAGCCTCACGGCCTCGGGGAACCTAGAACCTTCAGACCCCATCGGCAGCTCCCGAGCACCCCGGCTGGGGGCACCCGGCCTGAGGATGCTCTTAGGCCGGGGGGCCCGGGGCGTGCAGGGCACAGGTCTGGGGGCCCGGGGTGTGTATGGGCACAGGTCTGGGGGCCTGGGGCGTGCGGGGCACAGGTCTGGGGGCCCGGGGTGTGTGGGTCACAGGTCTGGGGGCCCGGGGTGTGTGGGTCACAGGTCTGGGGGCCCGGGGCGTGCGGGGCACAGGTCTGGGGGCCCGGGGTGTGTGTGGGCACAGGTCTGGGGGCCCGGGGTGTGTATGGGCACAGGTCTGGGGGGCCCGGGGTGTGTGGGTCACAGGTCTGGGGGCCCGGGGCGTGCGGGGCACAGGTCTGGGGGCCCGGGGTGTGTGGGTCACAGGTCTGGGGGCCCGGGGTGTGTGGGTCACAGGTCTGGGGGCCCGGGGTGTGTGGGTCACAG